CACGTATCGACTATCGGAACACTAAACGTATTAGAACGCATTCAGTGTTTTAAAACCAAGCTGCCAATCAATCAAACAACATAAAAACCACCCAAAAACCTCCTAAAACAGGAATTCCCAGAGGGGGGTAAAGGGGGGAGGGGAAGGATAGCTTTAAGCAGATTGCTTGAAAGCCCTTAAAAGTTAATAACTTCAAATCACTTCATCCAGACTAAAATTTAAGAGGAAACCCCCCACTAAAGTAGCAAAAATAAAGAACACCCATCAATTGAAACATTAAAAAAAGGGAAATCCGCAAAAACGAAGGTCAAAATACCTGAAACTTGAAACCCTAGCTGAAACTCAAATGAACCCAAATAAAAAAATACACGAACAGTAATCTTCAATAAGCCAAAAAAACCGAGGTGGGTATTGCAAAATAAAAAAGAAAACACAAGAAACAAAACGTCGAAGCGAGAAAACGGCCTAGAATGGGGGAAGAAAGATAGGTTTTTGGTGGGGAACAGAATCTGAAATGAAGTTGAGCAAGGAAATGAAGCAGATGAAGTTTTAAACGTTGGGATTCGTTTGTTTTGGCGGGTAATAATTGTTAAAAGGGCAAGAAAGGGGATTTTAATTTTCCGGGAGAAAATCGGGAATTAAGCAGAAAAAGGGGTGAGGGAAGGGAACGAGATTGGGAAATTACAGGGGCACAAGAGTGATTGTCGATGCCTGGATCGAGTGTTTGGACTTTTGAACGGTGTTTGAGGGTATTTTCGTCACTATGTCTTCATCTTTGGTTTGTTCCCTTTTCATTTCGTTTGGGTTTTTTTGGGAATTATCTTATTAAAAATAAATAAATCAAAGTCAATAACTGATATTTATATATGCTTGTATGGAGTGAGTTTGATGAATTTTATGTGTAGAATATCCCATTAAATTATGTTACCAGCCAAAAAATTATTTTTTGGTAATAACTGGAAAAAAATTAAATAAAAAACCTTTTAATAATTAATTTTTCAATTTCTAATAATAAATATTAACAAGTTATATACATCATCGAAAAAAAAATAATTCAATCTAGTATTAATTTATTTACTTTAACATCATAAGTTCATTACCTTCACTCAATAAGAAACAAAAATCATAATATTTTAAACTAATTTTGAATATTGTTAAAAATACTTTTATTTTTTTTCAAAAAAAGATATTCTCAGATTTATTTTTATAAAATAATATATTTATTTTCAATACTTAATTTTCAATAAATACCAAAAATATATAATTTAGATCCTATACTTATTGAATCCAACAATTTTTTGGTACACATCGTAGAGATTGCAATCTTAACTTTCCCTCACCGCTAGCGTCAGCTCCTCATAAGAGGAGGAATTCGTTTGGAGATTCTAATAAAATCTGGACGTTCTCCGGTTGATTCATTGTCATATTCGATAGTCGGCCGCGCATCTATTTTCCTCTCGTCAAATGTGACTAACCTCGTAGACCCATCCTTCTTGCAGAATTTTCGACAGTCTTTTAGTAGTACATTCCCGAGGTGTCCCTCATCCAGTTCACCGTTAAACATATCGACTATTCTCGAGATGTTCCTCATTCGCTTCACCGTTAAACATATCGACTACCCATTTCACATCTATTTTTACGATAAGTTTTGTCGCCCCAAGAGATTTCGCAAGGATGAGGCCCTGTCTTACTCCCCAAACTTCTGCTATGGCACTGCTCGTTCTTCTAATATGCATCATAAAGCCACCCATCCAAGTGCCCTCGTCATTTCAGATTAGACCTCCCGGTGAGGCTAATCTTGTGGTCGCTTTGTACGGCCCATCCGTATTAAGAATCCAGCTGTCATCATGAGGTTCCCTCCAACTCACCCAGGTTGGTTCTTTGGTTATGTTTCTATTGGAAGCCATCAGTGTTGTATTTGTATCTCTTGCCAACTTATGTGCATAGTATGCAACTCTGCTGGGGTTTTCTTCTTTGCCACTGAAGACACTATCATTCCTATTTTTTCATAGACCCCAAATGGCAGCCTAGAAAAGTATCCCCCGTTCCAGTCTGTTTCCCAACTCTTTCTTTGAGCAACAGCTTACCTTCATCCACTTCTTGAATTCCATCGAATCAAACCGATTGTTCTGCTAGTAAGCTTGACCCACACCTGCTTCACCGTATTACATCACTGGAGGATGTGTCCTAACGACGAGTAATTTCTTTTTTTTCTCTTATATATGCACTGTTTAAAATCTTGAAGAAAAAAACAAAATTATAAGAGAATAGTATTGGATAGATTTACATGACGAAGAAAAGAATTGCTGACGGTCTAAAACCAAACCCATATTAGAATGCCCACAAAGCCCAAATTGGTGAAATAAAAAATCAAACCAAAAGAAAGAGACTTGTGGGTTATGAGTCCACCGCGTTTCTCTTGCGTCACTTTAATTGTTGCTCATGAGACCTAAATTCGATGGGTTTTGACTTGATCTGACCTAATAGGGTCGAGTTTTTTTAAAAAAATTTAGGTTCGGATCGGGTTTTTTTAAAGGTGATGTTCGGGTTGAATTCGGGTTTAGGATGAAAAATACTCAACCGACCCGACCCCAAAAAAATATAATTTTATCTTATATATTTAAGAATAATTACAATAATAGCCATCAATATATTATTATTTTTAATTAAATTACTGTTTTTTATTGAATAAAAAATAATATATTTTATTATTTTGGGTCAGATCGGGTTGGGTTCGAATTTTATCTCAAAAAGTTGGGTCGGATTTGGATCGGGTGGAAGATATATACTTTTCCGGTCGGATCGGGTGAAGGATATAAAATTTTCGGGTACTTTTCAGGTCTAATCGGGTGAAGGATATAAAATTTTCGAGTCGGGTCGGGTTGGCCGAAACCTGACCCATGCCCATCCCTATTACCAATTGATGATTGAGTAAACTACACAATTCACTACTCAACTTTCTACTTATTCCTATTTTGGCTACTTAAAATTTTTTAAAAAAAATCAATTTAATATCTAAACTTTATATATTGAATTTTTTTGTCACTCCACCGTTAAATTTGTAACGGGCATTATGACATGGCTTAATAAATTGATTTTCTATTACCAGCTTTAGTTTCACGTGTTTGACAAATGTAGCATATCATACGATTATTTTGTGATTTTTAATAGTCGAATGACTTAACAAAGAAACTTTCTATAGTTAAGGGATTATTTTGTAATTTTTAATTGTCGGAAACTCAATAATGCGGTATTTGTGTACTTCAACCTATTTATAATCAATATCAATTATATTAAATATTGAATTGTATAATTCATTTAGTTTGAATGATATTAATAATTACAATCATAATTAATTATTATAAAAAATATAATTAGTTTAACGATTAGGTTACCTCAAATTAAAACTATAATTAACTAAAAAAATTCACACAATTTATACGATGTGTCTTGAATTCGAATGTTTAATGATCTGCAACTTTAACTTTTGTCAATTTTTACCAAGACCATGGACGGAGATCGGGAGACATTTATCCTTTTTTTCCATTAAAAAGGTATAAAGATGGAAGAATGGTAAATCTCCTTTGCACTGTATAAGTAAAGTCGGAAACGCCAATGGTCTGTTGGATAGATTTTTGGAGGCTTGTCCGGATGTATCAGAGATGTCACAACCGAGAATCGCACCCCGTGCATATTGATGGGCTCAAAGTCCTCCGAGTCCTAATTCAAACGCTCAGGGACAGGAAGAAAGAGTATTTGCCGGGAAGTGATTGACTGGAAGGACGAAAACCGCAACACTGCACTGCGAGCAAGAACCAACCCCCAGATGATCAAACAACTATTAGAATGCAAGGCTGATAAGCATGTGACCAATAGGGCTGTTTTGACGGCATTGGATTACAGCACATCAACGTAATAACACAGAAAGCATTAGTATTCTGCATCATTGCTTTAACCCACAACTTTCCAACTTCAATTACAAGCTGCGAAAAGCACATGGCAAAGGCGACGTCCATGATTTTTCACGGTATGGACCGGCAAAGATCCACACTGGAAATCTTAGGACTGCTTCTAATAGCAACCTACCAAGCCACTCTCAGCCCGCCCGGTGGTGTTTGGCAAGGCAAAAACACACCACAAGATCATATAATGCCAAGGTTCTGGGAAATCGGTCATGTCCGAAATCACCTTTCTTCTTCCCTACATTCCAACCTATGTCGTCTTCATCGTAACATTTTTCCTAACATTAGCCCTCCTCAAACCTTTTCCTCTTGGTTTCAGGACCGCACTTCAAGTGCTACTATCATTCCTTGCAATATACTTCGACTAATCAATTTCTTTTATAGCGCCTACCAATATGATAAATTCAATTTTAAACCTATTTTCGATACTGATTTTTATTTTGATGGTGTTCATGTTCATTGAATATCGAGTGTAGATGCTCAGCGTTTCGATCTCGGGATGTTGGATATTCCCTCCAATTTTATTTGCTCCTTTTGTAAGAGTGCATGTGATTGTAGGATATGTAATTCAGAGATGCTTGTTATTCCTTTTCCTATATGAAATTTATTGGGAAGGAAGCATTATAATTGTAGGATATTGTTTGTCCTGTATGTTGCTTTTTATTGAGTTCGATGTTTCGTTAGTCTTTTTAGATTCTGCATACACAGTTATAATTTCGGTATACTGGTTATTCCTTAGTTTATGTCGATTCTACATAAACATTGTAAAAGTGGAGCCTTTTAATAAAGAATTATTACATTTTTTTTGTTATGGACTTATTGTTATAAAAATCTATCTTGGCATTAGTCCAAGTAATATCCGAATATAATACATATTATAAACTTTTTTTTTTAAGTAAAGCCATATTCCATACAAGATTATAACATGGTAAATATTGATGAAAACACAAATTTTTTATTATATATGTAATACAAAACAATAACACAGAATACAAAACAATATGAACATCACCCTCTTTACGTAAACAAAAGAATGTTTTTTTTTTTGGGTTTTGTAATGCTTGAGTTCTATGGCTTCCTTTGTTAATTGGCCTTTAGCAGTTTCCCTCTACCTCCCTGCTGGATTTGCAAGTTGAGTGAAGATGGCACTTTCATCCTTCCCTTCATTCAGTTCTACTTCATTGCCAAGACTATGCCCGCTCGGTTCTCTTCGGTGTCCTACACTACTATCATCTCTTGAATGGACACTTCCTTGCTCGCTCCCCCTGCTCGATCCGCCTTTCGTATTGTCCGCTGTTTCTTGCAGTTGGAGAGCGAACTCGAGGTTCCACAACACATCCCCCATGTGAGGACGATCAATCCCTTGATCGGACAAGCACTTCACCGCCGTCTCTGTAAACTTCTTTAGACATTCCGGATCGATTTTGCCTTTCAAGTTAGGGTCAATGATGCTTTCTAGAGTTCCTTGGCTGCAACAACGAAGTGCCCAATCTGCAAGGCTGACTTGTTCTTTAGGAAGACTAGGATTGAGAGGCGGTCGAGAGCATAATGCCTCGAACAAAACAACGCCGAAGGAGTAAACGTCGGATTTCTCTGTCAGTTGTTGCCTTCGGAAGTATTCGGGGTCCAAGTAACCAAAGCTACCTTTCACCACTGTGCTCACATGGCCTTGGTTCAAGTCGGGACCGGTTTTCGACAAGCCGAAGTCAGAGACTTTGGCAACCCATTTTTCATCCAAGAGAATGTTTGTGGTCTTGACGTCCCTGTGAATGATGGTGTACTTAGCTCCCGTGTGGAGATAATGAAGTCCCCTGGCTGCTCCGATACAGATTTCAAGCCTCTGTTTCCACGACAGATTCGAATTCGGTTTCTTGTTGTTGTAAATGTGTTCCCTGAAAGTACCACGGGCCATGTAATCGTAAACCAAACACATTTCGCCACCATCTTCACAGAAACCAATCAAAGACACCAAATGCTTGTGTCTCAACTTTGAAAGCATCTCGATCTCAGTTTGGAATTCGTTCACTCCTTGTTCCGACGACGGATTCGATCGTTTAATCGCCACGCTAGTACCTCCATCGACAACTCCTTTATACACCTTACCGAACCCTCCGACACCGATGACATTAGATTCGTCAAAATTCTTGGTGGCCTTCTTGATTTCGGATATGGAAAAATGGCGAGAAAGACCTTGAGCCAGTGTGGCAAGATTGTTACTATTGGATTTGCTTCCTCCAACACTGGAGTTGCCATAAACCGGTAGCCAACTAGAGGAATGTGTTTCAACACCATGGACTGTTCTCTTCTTTGTGTAGAAGAAAAGCAATAGAGCAACGGCGACAAAAGCCGCAGCCACCCCGCCGGTAGCTCCGACGACAACGTAATCGGTCTTGGGCTCAGAAAAGGACCTAGCCTCGTTCTCGGTTTGAAGCATCATCTCGGAAGGTTCGGGATTTTTTCCCGCAAAACTCTTGGTCCCATCATTTAACTTGAAAATCTCGAGTCCATTGAGAAAAGCATCATAAAACTGTGGCTTTGATTCCGTAGATGGGACCCCTTCAAGCTTTATGCTGTCATTAGTGACAGCTATTCCGTAATCTATGATCAATGGAACCCCCTTTCCCTTTGCCAAAGCAATCACATCAAGTCCCTCGGATTGAGTTGTATCATTATTGATGTAAAACTTGGAAGCTCTCATGTTGTCCTTCTCGAATTGAAACTCACAGAAGTGCAGTCTCACCATATATGTGAAATTGGGATCAACATGGAACACCCACGTCAGGTTGTGCATCAAGTTCATCTTATTATCCCTCCCCATTGATCTTGATGTCCTGTAAACATCTTCCGGAGCCGAAGCCGTCAACACGTTCCGGTAATCGATCCGAACATCCTTAGCAGCTTGATTAGTGACTCCAATGGAAGCACCAAAAATATAAGGCTCATCATAGAACCAACTTCTCAAAAGGCCACTAACATCTTTACCCGGAGGAATGGTTTGTCCACCAACATTCAGCCTAAACATCAACTCCATATTCTCCAACGAGGCGTCGATGACGTTCCCGCCATTAATGTCGTTACCGTAACCTATCAAACTCATCATCCCAAATAAGTCCGGCATCGCGATCAGTTCGATCCCGTTGATGAAAGCGAAAGTGTTGGAATAGTTAGCCGAAGGTGTGAAAGTGATCTCTAAAGATTCGGAATCCGAAGGTGCCAAGGAATACTCCTTGACGATATAAGCCTGTGTGAGCGCTTGACATGTGATGGCGGCACTGAAATTGTTCATTAACTTGAGATCTCCGGCGGTGACGGCGAAGTAGGAATTGGAGACGTTGAAATTCGCGTAAGTGGAAGGATAAAAATGGAACCTGAGAAGGTAACGCTGCTTTGATTTGATGGAGAACTTGTAGGTTGCTGGGGATTTGATGATCCTGGCATTCATATACGGCACCGTCGAAAGAAGAGAAGGGTCTTGATATCCAGCTTGAACTTGAACTGAATCTCCAGATGAAGCCAGATATTTGGAATCTTCTACCCATGTTCTTCCATCTTCATCTTTGCCTCCCTTTGCCCCACAATCAATAGCCAAAGACTGGCTTGAAACAAGAACAGCATTGAAAATGAGAGAAAACCCAACAACTGAAATCACAATATAGTTCATGTTTTTCATGGAGAGAGTCCAAAATCCCAGGAAAAATAAAACAGTCAAGAAACCTTCAATGGAGGCGTACAGGAAAACAAAGGAAGACGAAAAAAGAAATTTTTTAAAAAACAACAAACAGCTCTCCTGTACGCCTGAAAAGGCTAATTTTCTTTTTCGTCTGTTCTTTGAAGTAAAATGGGATTAACCTAATCCATCTCTATACTCCCATGGGAACTCAAACATTGCCAAAGACTCCTGATGATTATTATTTTTCCTGGGATTAAAGGAATCAATCCAGGAAAAAAGAAGAAGGGTTTATTATCTTTTGTATTATTGTTTCATTTTTTAGTTTTTCTTCAATTTCTTTTTCCTGTTTTGATTTCCATTTTACTGGTTCAAACCTGATGATTGATTGTTACAAAATTAGTTGGAAATCGATGATTGAGAGTGAGAAACGTATTTCATCGGTTCTAAATTGTTTGAATTCCATTTTAATTGCTAAACATGTTTTTTTTCGTTTAAATATACAAAAGTTGTCTAATTTAGATTCGTTTTTCCATTTTAATACTTAATGTTTATTTCGTTTCAGTTTAATGTCTAATGTTTCATTCCGTTACTTAAAATGGGTCATGTCGTGACGGACTGTTAATTTTCTTCGTTAAGTAACACATATCACAATATGATAATTTAAAAAAAATTATAAAATTAAAAAATAATATATATATATATATATATATATATATTTTTTTTTTTAATAAAAAAACACATAAATTTCAAAATAATCTAAAACTTTAAAAACCTTCGTTTCAACCTCTAAACCCATCCGATCGCCGCTCTTTGTCGTCTACGAAGCTTCACCCAACTTACCTCCTCCTGCGACCAAAACTCTTACGAAATCATCATAACTGATCCATTTACCTTCCTCATCCCGAATTACTCCCCCACACGAGGTTGTCCCTAGATTGGTGTGTCTCGCTCCATCAGAATTCAACTTAAACCACCCCTCAGCAGGTACTTGTCACGCTCCATTATGCTGGTTACTCGAAGAACACTGTACCATTCTTGGACTCGAGAATAACCGATAATTCACCATCTCATTCACCAGCCGATTATTTCAGTATAAAATGTTCTCTCCAGCAACAAAATCTTCATAAAAAAGCAAGCTATACCGCCTTGCCCATAAACTCCAAATAATGGCACCAAACCGCAAATCCCAGTGCTCATCTCTACGAGAGAAGTATCCAAGTTGAGTAATATTACGTTGAATCCAAGGAAATAAATCCATGTGCATGAATTCCCTATAATGCTCCGGTCTAACTACAGCGAGCCAAGTAGATTTCGCCGCAGGGCAGTCCCTTAGAACATGTAATGTCGATTCCAGGGTACCCCCACACATCGCATAGCTGACATCCGAGGTAAGATGTCTCCGAGCTCGCTCTTCATTCGAAAGCAGCCTTCCTTTACAAATTAACCACAATAACATTCTAATCCTAGGGAGGCCCTTATGTATAAAATCCCATGAAATCGTACCTTGAATTTTAACCGTTCTATGTTATATTTTAAATTAATAATTTAATTATTAAATCTAACTTTCATCTTTAATTTACTATTTATAATTGGGCTCTCCTTGATTTTTCATATTGGTTACGTCTTGAATGCATATTTCAAACACCTTATAATAATATTCAAACTCAAAAAGAATAACTGATTAAGATTTAAGTCTTTTAAGCTATTTATTTTACGTAAATGAAAGATCATATTCTTATAATATTCATATATATTTTACAAAAGAAAATTAGCATGTAAAAATCTGAAACAGACGTATGAATTTTTGTAGATGATAAATTTGTAAAATTTAAAAAAAATAAAAATAAACTATTAATAAAAAAGTATAATTAAAAAATATAAAATATAAGAAAATTTAAGACACAATGGTGCCCCACCCACTTCACCTTCAGTCCATCGACTTGAAACTAGATACAATTTGCAGGATTCTGTTGCAAAAAGTACAGAAACATAAATGTGTCGTAGTCCTGTGATTTTAGGGTTCCCCCCCCCCCCCCGCCTTACACCATCCGAAAATGCTGCTGAGCAGTATAAAAACAGTATATAAGGTAAACAAGTCTATATAAAAAGGAAAAGAATCTAACAAGAATGTAGTTGAGCTTCTACCAAACATTCCAATGTCCAAAAATGGGTTTTTTAACTCGCTAATTATAAACATATTGTTGGAGGAATTTGCAAAATCGACAGTTATAAATGAATGGTGGAATAACAAATCAAATCCTTAACAGATGCTAACCCTTAGTTTTTCCATTAAAGCTCTCTAAAATCCTAACCAGATCAACCTGGTTGGGCTGGTGTTGTTTCATTAACCAATTCGAAAGTTAATAAGGAGAAGAAGAGAAAAAACAAACAAACAAATCCCGAAAATCTGCAATATATAGCTATTTTATATTCGTCCAGAAACCCACCCTCGTCCCTCACTTTTCATCGGCTGTTTTTTTTCCAGTTTACCGTGGCCACCAAGAGACAATAAGCTTCTGTTTTTGTTCCATTTATTAGGGACAAGATAGGAGACAAAGAAGCTTATTGTTTTCTTTCTTTTTTTTGGGTTTCGTTTTTTTTTGGGTTGATTGTAGATTAAGAAAACTAATTAGTGAAAAGGAAAAAAAAATGGTGGACGTATCATCTTCATCATCAACATCGTTATACGAATCCGATACCGAAGAACTTCAGCATATGCCCTTGAAGCCAGTGATGAAAAGCAACCGATGTTTATCGAAGCAGTTATCGATGTGTGAGACGTCTCGAGACATCGATTGGGAGCGAAGGAACCGGATCCTTCGTCAGGAAAGAGGTAAGAACACCGAGGAACAGCAACGGATGATAGGGGTGCCGTCTTTGATGAAAAACAGGAGATACCTATCCAAGCAATTATCGATGTTGGAAACTTCCAGGGACATTGCGTGGGAGAGAAGGCGATGCCAGATTCTTCGTCAGGAGAAAGGGAAAACCGGGATCGCAGAACGGAATGGGATAACCGATGAAGACTTGAATGAACTAAAAGGTTGCATTGAGCTCGGATTCGGATTCAACGAGGAAGAAGGCCAAAAGCTTTGCAATACGTTGCCTGCGTTAGACCTCTATTTTGCTGTAAATCGTCAGCTCTCTCCTAGCCCGGTTTCGACACCTCATAGCCGACGATCATCATCGGTATCATCGTTAAGGTCATCTTCTTTTGGAAGTCCCAAGAGTGATCAAGATTGGAAAATTTGCAGCCCCGGTAAATGTCTCAATGTCTGAACTACAAAAAAGTGAAATGAAATATTAAGCAAAGTACCATCGTATGTGAACGGCAACTTTAACACTTGGGTTCATGCAATCACCTTTAAAGTGATAGTATTAAGAAAGTTTGGAACTTTTATTTTTTTAGTATGGGGATGATTATCATCTCTTTATAGTATTTCTTAACTATCGACAATGCACACACATCTTACAGACATAAATGCTCGAGTCTAAGACCTTTAAGAAAAATAACATTCTCTATTACCATTCAATGAACTTCGAAAGTTTGGAATTTTAAATTTCCGAATCATAGACACCTTTCATATTGATACGAAAAATAAGCTAAAGTTGATTGGGTTGCTTGCAATGTTTATTAAATGCTACAATTTCCAAATTACAGGGGAAGATCCACAGCAAGTGAAGACAAAGCTTAGGCATTGGGCGCAAGCAGTGGCATGCTCCGTGATGCAGTCATCTTTAAGTAGTGGGGTTGGCTTTGTACAGGTCTAGAGTCGGAAGAAAAAAAATGAAAAGAAAAAGCCAGGAAACAGAGAGAAATTGACTTCATTATTTTAGGATATTCAATGAATAAAAAATGCGTAATCAAGGAAAACGGTGCTGCATCTCTGGACGTGAAGAAAAGTTTGGTTATAAAGAGGTTACTGCTGAACGACCCCGAGATTTATGACCAATTTTCAATATATGATTTGACTATTTCTTGCAACACCTCTGTTTGAAACCTGGGGATTTTTTCTTCATGTATATGCCACTCCAAAGTGATATATTGATCCTGCTAATAAGCAATTTAACAACAGCTCCATCCATCAGTTTAGTGTTAAATAAAGTCCTATCAAGAACTAGCATCATAGTTGAACCGGAGAAACCCGAAAATTTCAAAAGTTGGTTCATACATGATCCAACACTTTAAAAAGTTTCTAGTATAAGATAGTGAAGCAACAATTTCAAAAGTTCATTTCATTCATAGATCTGTCTATAGGTTTATGTCAAAGAGGAAATCCCGGAGGAGAATAGGGTGACAAACCTTAAAATCGAAATAAAAGATGGCTAATGCTCTAATATCAATCACAAAGCAAGTAGTAATCAAACTTGGAGGAAAAGGAAAACAAACTGAGGGTATTAATCCTCTTCTAGGTTGATGGAGTCCTTGAACTTCCCATACAAAACCTTCTTCAACTCGCCCATTTGTGCCACTACTGATTCTTTCTCCTCCTCAAATTTTTCTAAGTTCTTGCTGCTCACTTCCTTCATCTCTTCTATCCTGGTCTCCACTTCCTCCTTGGGGACATGAGCAAAGACTTCTCCAATTTGGAACCGTACTACGTCCTCGTCAGTTAGAATCAACTCGTTACTAGCATCCTCTAGGTTATCGATTGTTTCCTGAGAAAACCAAAAGAAAAGAAAAAAGAAAACTATGGTCAGAATATGTAAACTCATATGATTGTACTCACATTTCAATGGAGTTAAAACAGCAATTTGAATGAATCTGAACAGCTTCCAAAACATGAAAACGACGGCAATGATTGCAATTTGGTCAGATGCAACTAGTTTTAGTAAAAGGAGAGTCGAAGACAAAGTTTAAGACTAATCAATGAGAAGATGCAGTTTCAGTTTTTCCTTCCTTGAAAAAAAAACAAGAACACGAATTTCAATTTTCACAAATACCGAAAGAAATTTCAAATTCACAAGAAAATAGACATCCATGAATTCAATAAATAATCACGAATGTTATATTTATGTGTTTTAGCACACAATTTACAATTCTTGATATCCAAATTCATCTTCTGAGAGTGAAGCTCCCGAAAGGGATTTAACCGATTGGGACAAAATAATATCCACTAGTAGCAAGGGAATTTGCAAGAGGGGAAAGGATATTGCAGAAGAAAAGAAGAGATTTAAGAGTTGAGAGGAGACATTATATCAGTATTGACATTAATGCCAGTTCCTAATTTGGGCAGGTAACATTATCCAATCTACCAGAAATCAGTTTGTTTTTTCCACAATCCCACGGAAGCAAAGGAATTCTCAAAAATATAAGTGAATCAGCAAAATCAATTCTACATCTCAGATATTTAAGATAAGGATAAATGAAACATATAGTGAAAGTAAAAAAACAACCTTTTTTCGCCCAAAATGAAATGATGCATGGAGAAATTCAATTTAGTGTTTTCCTTTATTTTTGTGCGTGTTTGTTAAAAATAACCAAGTTTTAATCCAACAAAGCAATCACTAGCAAACAAACTTAACCATCAAGTTAGCCAAAAATGAAACTGAGTTTTCTGTAAACCTGACGACCCACCCACATCAAAACAAACTAAATATTCAATATCCAAAAGGAAAAATACATACCTTGACAAACTTGATTTCATCTTCCAGCTCATGAAATCGATTGTTTAATCTTCCAAATTTGTTAATGTTCTGCTGGTCTTCCCAGGTAACGTCCGTCTCAGATGCTCCAGTACCCTTGGGGATCATTTTTTTCGTTTTAGAATCGCAAAATAAATGAGAAGGACGAAGAAACAAACAAAAGATTTAACTAAGATAAGGGTTTTTGAAGAATACCCATACCTGTTGCATGTTTGGATCGATTGATGTTTCTGAATAACCACCAGAGCAGCTCCCTCTCTCGGATTTTCAACAACTCGAAGCGACTCAATATCGGGTTCTTTTTTTCAGCTTTTGAACCCGACAATTATGGGCTTGTCTATTCAATAACGTGATTGGGCTTCTTCACTTGAATTTTATGCTAGTCTACGTGGTCGGTCATTTTTCAATTATAAGGTCCAAGTTGTTCGAAATTATTTCGGGTTTAAATTAAATTCGATTTTGGTTTAATTTAGGTTAGATTATATTTATTTTAGATCTATAATAAGTTGAATCAAGTCATTATCAGTTCAGGTTAATATTAAATTAGGTCTATATTAATTTTAAATTAATTAAATAGTTGAATTTTTAAGTCATTTCGAGTTTAATTGAGTACAAGTTCAATCAGTTATATATAAAATTATTGACATATTTATATAAAAATGTGTCTTTTTGTTTATCAATCCTTTTATTTTGATTCAATTTCAACTTTTAATCATTCAACCATTCACCGTTTCAAATTCAGCATCATCAATAAAAAAATTAATGTAACCAAGTTTTATATGTAATAGCAATTAATGTAGACATTGGACTTGATTTATAATTACATATCATTCTTGTATGAGACTTATTTATTTCATATTAATTTGTATTTGTAAAGAAAGGGTCAAGCTTTTTTTAGATGAATATGAATTCTATTGTCAGAAAACCAATCAACTTGTACAAACAAAGAATAAATCACAACCATCTATACATTCAAACCCCACACTCCACGGCTATGACTATATAATTGACTCAATTTACAAGATTTCATGTTGAAGACACTCAAATTCGTCCACCCATATTACGCTATATATATATATTATCATATTATAATACATATAATTGTTTGTTGATTTATTTGGGTACAGGTCCAATGAAAGACAATTTACAAGCCATTTGCAGCAACCCGGGCCCAGTGCAGCAGCCCAGTCTCGACCCAGTAGACCAACGACCCACACCAAATCAGCTAGGGTTTTGAAACCCTAGCTTTTCATCCCATTCCAGCGCCGTTTTGGCCGGTCAACGCTACAACTGTCCCCGAAGTTCCCACGCCTCCAACTTCCCGATTCCTCCGGCGCAAGGAAAGCATACGAAGCCAACCACCAACAACAAGCAAGGCAACGTGTTAGTTTAGGACTTCAACAACCAAACCGAGTTTTACTCGGATTAAAACTCTAAAGTAGGCTTGTATAAATACATGTAACTAGAACACTCAGGGGGGATCTTTTTTTTTTACACTGGACGAACACACGAGATCATCACGACAGCCCGCACATACAAACATTACGAGGGTTCATTAGTGAAATACAAGCAAAGTAACTTCAGAGATCGACATTTTGTAATCGTTTCGTAGCAAAATAAAGGGTAAAAGTTTCGTACCTTTCTTGTTTACTTTGTATGTATGTATTTCCTTCACTCTGGTTTGATTCTAAACGACAAAAAACGTTTTGGCCGAGGACCAAGGGGGTTGCTTTCGAAGCTATTTTGCTAGATCTACGCGACCCCGAGGCCCGTTTAAAAAAACTAGTTGGATTTTTGTAACCTACGCAAGAAGACCTTTCAAAAAAACAAAAGCTTTTTCATTTTCGCCGCCGAGGACCGCGGTCAGCGCCGTTCGCGGTGGCCGACGAGGCGGCATACGGTGGCCGGAGTCTGGGAACTACGGCGGCGTTCATGTGTTCATCAAGAACACATGAACCAAGCAGAGAAAAAGAGAGAAATGGGGAAGGACTCGGCTTGGAGAAGAGAGAAATGAATATTTTGATAAAAAATTTGATTTTTATACTTAAACCATCCGCGTGTTTCTATCTAAAATAGGGTAAACTACCCTTTTGATCCCTGTTACCTCGAAAAGAGCCGTTTTCCCCCCTCAAATCGAAATTAACCCTTAATGTTGCTTTGGAATTTCGACCTCAAGCCTGCAGTTCTTTCATTTTAGTCCTTTCTCTGGATTTTAATTTTAATTATCTTTTTATATTAATATATAATATCTATATATATTTTATATTATTATTAGTTTTTACACTCGTATATATGTATTATTAGTATAGTATTATTTCACTTATATGTTATATTATATATATATATATGTATATATGTACACATTTTGTATTTTACCCTATTTCTTTACTTCTTTATTATTATATTTATTTACATTATTTATTTTTTCTATTATTATTATATTTTTTCCTCCCTCTTATATTTAGCTATTATATATATATGGTATTAATGTTATTATATGTTTTTATTAACTTTATTTGTTTTACTTTATACGCTATTATTTTACAATTTTTTTTTTTAGTTTTTCTATTATTGTTATATATATATTTTCTTATTTTATTTTCATTATTTTTTATTTTATATGTACATATTTGATTATGGTGATTTATTTTAGTTTTTAGTTTTTTATTTATTTATTACTATTATATATATCTTCTTTTTATTTTTCCCATTGTTTATATCTTTATCATTATTACCATCATATACATTCTTTTTATATTCTATATTCTCCTCATCTTATTTGTTTTCCATTTTACCTTAGGTGTTTTATTTGCATTCCTTATCTAATATATGTCTTGATCTTCTAAGGGTACAATTTAAGCAATCTAAGGTAAGTAATTTGGATCGTCATTTTACATTTTAATTTAAATTTACAACTTTCTTAATTAAAGACAACTGGAAATTACATAATACCGAAAGGGCAGTTCAAGGGTGCTAATCCTTCCTTAGCTGTAACCGACTCCCGAATCCGACATATCTTTGGTAAGACGCAGATCAGGTAAGGTATAAGGTATCCGATTAACCTATTTATTTTTAAATAAATAATCGGTGGCGACTCCAATCCATTTTTCAAGTCGAAGCCCAATTCCGGGCCCAACCGAAAGACGGTTGCGACAGCTTGGCGACTCCGCTGGGGACGCAGGTAAGCGAGTCAGGCTAAGGTAATTTCTAGTTGTCTTTTTAACGAAAAGGGTAAGTTTGGATTTTAAGATAATTTTTCGATCCTTATTACTTACTTTTGATTACATTTTCGAGTAAATAGTTGTACTGACTGTTTTCTAATGATTTCAGCTTTATAAACTTTTTCATCTAAGGCTCTATACCCGAGCTCCGAACCCGTTTTAAGTGGGGGTGAAAGCGACGCCTTCGTGTGAATTTATTCACCGTATGGGCCTAGCAAGTAGCCTTCGGGATTCATATACCTTATGCCTTCGTGTGAATTTATTCTCCGTATGGGCATAAGGGAATGTGTCCTCTCGAGTTTAACTTAGTCCGCACAAGCCTGTGATGGGTTTCGGACTAAGGGTCTGGTCGGTCCAAGGGGGCGCCAGCAAGGAGAACTCGAGTACCGTTTTTAGAACCTAAACCGGGAGACTTTGAATAAATAGAGCCTACCCCAAAACCACATTCTAAAACCTAGGACATTTCTTTCCTAACCTTTTTTTCGTGTCCTTATGATTTTTTTTCCTTTACCATTTTTTTTCTTCTATTTTACTAACCTTTTTGCCTTTGTGTTTGTTTTTAGCATTTGCATCGTAACAAGAGGCCATTGATCCCTAAAAAGGTGTTTATTAAAACTCAAATAATCTGAATTCATGGACAAAGGTGTTGTAATACAAGAGATTGAAAACGCTGAAGCACGACTATGGTCCGAGAAGACTCAAAGTGAAAAGGGAGACAGTCTTCAAGGAAGCTATGTGTCAGAGTTGGTTCGTTACACCCCTGTCAGCCTGAAACAGAATAATGTCCAAGAGCTGCGAAACATTTGGGACAGTTGGAAGAATGACAGAAAGCAGAAGTTCAGCCAACGATATGGTGATATCGCCCTCTTGCTCCATGTCAAGACTGATGAGCCCTTACTCCGAGCATTAATTCAATTCTGGAACCCGGGATATAGTTGTTTCACCTTTAACCAGGAAGACATGGTGCCTACTATCGAAGAATACACTACACTGCTGCATTGTGAAAGCATCAAGCTTGAGCGAGCCTACATTAAACACATCAAAAGCCAACCCTTCAAGAATGCACTGGCCAAAGTTGCAGGAGTAGATGAGAAATGGGTAATCGATCGGACTCAGCGTAGAGGCAGTGGAGAAGGAATTGAATGGATCCACATAAAGCAACTAATGAAAAACCACCCTGATGAGTGGAAGACTATAGACCTTTTCGCATTGGGTCTGTACGGTTTGATTATCTTTCCTAAAGCTTTGGGGTGCATTGACGCTGCCGTGGTGGAACTATTTGAGCAACTTTCTAAACGAGTTAACCCAGCACCAACCATCTTGGCCGAGACCTTTCGATCTCTCAACCATTGCCGAAGAACGGGCGGAGGAAGATTCACCGGGTGCATCCAGCTCCTTCAGGTCTGGATTCACAGCCACTTCTGGAAGACTAACGGGGTTGCCTACCGCCGTTTCAGCACCACCTATTCACCTCTAGGTGAATTTATCACCCTAAAATGGCATGAAGGCGTCTCGAAGGAAAAATGGATAAGGGTCTTTACGCATCTTCAGGACCGGGATATTGTCTGGAGAGCCCCCTGGCTATTTCTCAGTGACGTTCTTTTCCGATGTGGTGACTCTGACACTGTGACCTTACTTGGACTTTGGGGAGCAGTCGGGTATGCTCCACTATTAGCACTTAGACAGTACGGAGCACGTCAGTTTGTCCCAGCAACATGCGGGTTGGCTAGGTCAGAGTTTGAGTATCACGGCGACAGCTATAAGAAGATGATCAAAGAAGCAGCCGATTCGTGGAGGAAAGTATTCTGGATGGATGTTGTAGCTGCCAGAAGCATACTCACTCCGGATTATGTGGAGTGGCGAAGATTAAGAAAGAATGACAACATCCCTGTGCCAGACTGTGATGACACCCGGACCATGGAAGAACATCTCAGGCATGTCCCTTCTGAACTCGAGATAGCCAAGACCGAGTTTGAAGCCGTGAATAATGAGCTGAAGCAAAGGATAAAGGAACTTGAAGCTGAACGTTATCAGTGGAAGCTTGATGCTGACTCTCAGAAAGATCGGGCAGAAAAACTGGAAAAA